GCCCTTTTCATCCCCCCGCCAGCCTCCGCCTTACCCCTGGCTCTCTCCCTCCAGCAGCTGGCGGTAGGTGGCGATTTCCTTCTCTAGGTGGGTTTTGATGCCCAGAAGGACCTTGTATTCGTTGTTCTGACGCTCCAGGTCATGACGCAGCTGCAGCAGTTCCTCCTCATAGCGGGAGATGATCTGCTGCATGTCCTGGAGCCGGCAGGAGTTCCGGGACTGGGTCTCCGACAGCATGTTTTCTAAAGCAGATTTCTGAAAGAGGAAAGGATATGTCTAACATTAATTGACTGACGGCTTGATTGATTCAGTAATGTGTGCTTGCGGAGTAGTTAGAATACGCTGACCACTCTGCCCGGTGTCCTGGTGGCTGCTGGGGATGCAAGGATGAGAAGCAGGCTGACCTACAGGTTTGGGGCTCTGGCAGTCAGCAGTTGAACAGGGTCTGGACTTTTGAAGCCCATTTTCTGGGCATAAAACCTTGGTGTCAGGGTTTTCTTGGCAACTCTGCTGCACTCCTGTAGGCCTTATTGTTTACGCTATTTATTCCGTATCCGGCACATGCTACCTGTCCTAATCTGTACCCTACCTCTTTATGCTGACGTCTGTCTCCAGCCAGATCGAAAACTCCTAGAGAGAAATAGCAACTGGGGCTGCTGTCTCTCTGTATCTTCAGAGAAGGGTCTTACGTCGGGATGCCAGGTAAAATAGAGGCATCTATTACATTTGAATTTCAGATGTGCAATGAGTAATTTTTTGGTACAAGTATGTCTCAAGTATTGCTCCAGTATCTCATGGGATATACTTATAGCAAGAACGCTCTATTGTTTATTTGAGATTCATATTTAACTGAGTGTCTATTTTTATTTGGTAAATATAGCAATCCTCATCACAAGCAATGCTTTTTGACTATGACGATGGTAACACACTGTCATTGTTGAGGAAATTCTAAAAGCTGCAAAATGAAGTTGTTGGCCTAGGATACAGAGGACTGAGTTCAAATCCCTGTTGTGTTTGGATTTGCCACCTGCTTTTCGGGAGCACATAAGTAACTTTAAAGAGGAGCTCATACTGTGCTGGATGGATACCCTCGCTTTGTCCTGGCTGCTAACACTCACTCAATGCTGCCGGGCCGTAAACCACATCTCCCTGGTCTAGTCACTCTCCCATTCTCCCAGAGGGCTGTTTCATTCCTTCTCCTCTGTCCTTAAACTTCCCTTCTCCCCATCCTTTCTCTCAGCCTGGCTTCACAGGTCACTGAGGAAATGAAAGCAGTTAGGAGAGACCGCCCTCAAGCGCCCACCGTCACTTCCGTCCACACACTTGGATCTGTGTCTAGGCGCTCATTTCTCTCCTGTTATTATGCATGAGCTGTCTGTGCTCCCGTCATCTCCACAACTGCCTGCCTTCTTGGCATCACCTGTCTTCTCTCTACTAGGTTATTCCCACCAGCTTTCAAAGACAGAGAGTGCCAAAAAAATGTATACACGTTTTAAGAAAGGAAAAACTGTATTAAATGTGTAATACTCAGTATATACCGGTAACAAAAGATGAATACAAGTCACGTTTGACTTCTGCAATCACAAGAGGTGCTCAACGTGGTTACCATCAGCGTAATTTTAATACAGTTTTTTTTTCTTTTCTTAAAATGTGTATACAACTTTTTTGGCACCCTCTGTAGAATAATTTCTCCCACCTTAAAATTTTTCTCTCTTGAACCCGTACCTACCCTTCAGCTATCATCCAACTTCTCTGCTCGCCTTCATTTACAGTAAAGCTCCTCAAAGAGTAGTTTATACCAGCTGTTTTCAATTCCTCTTGACTTCCCTCCAAGGGTCAAGGCTACACAGTCTGGCTCCATTGTTACCCATGGCCTCCCCTCCCCTCCCCTTCCCTGCCCTCCCCTCCCCTCTCCTCTCCCTTTTGTTCACCCACTGCAGTCACATTGACTTCCCTGCTGTTCAGTCAACCCAGTGGACACACTGTGCCTCAGAGCTTTTGCATTTGCTGCTCCCCCCACCTGGAGCCCCCTCCCCACAGCCACAGAATGCACCTCCTTATCACATTTAGGTTTTTGCTCAGCTGTCACCTTAACAGGAAAACCTTTCCTGACTATCTTTTAAAATGGCAGCCCTTCACCCTGGTACGCCTTACCTCTCTCCCATGCTTCTTTTTTTTTTTTTTTTGGTAGCACTTTTCTCCATTTACTAGATTATATATTTGGATGATTTGTGCATTTATTGTCTATCATCCTTGGTAGAATATAAAATCCTTTATTATTGAATCCTCAATGCTTAGAGTAGTGTCAGAGAGTAGAATGCATGCCAACTGGTATGAATGCCTTGCTGACCTTACAGGGTTGTTGTGAAGTACTGCATATTAAAATGTTTTGAAGGCTGTAAAGCACTGTAATCATTTCTGCATGCACTCGACAGTGCAGATTTTAAATGTCTGCTCACCATCACTGATTCTTAAAACCTCCCAGTAGTTTACCATGTGCATCTGCAACAAAACGAATAATGTCTCCCCAAAAC